GAATTGAAGCATATGATAGGCGATGTCAAAGTGTTAAAGTGACAACGTCTATATTCAGTGACCATAGATTAAAATAAGCCCTAAACTTTGCTAGCTAATGAACAGAGAGTAGGAGTGAGCATTCAGCCAATTTGGTCGGTTTGATTAAAATTTTTAATCGAAATAAATTAATCGAAATTTGTTTGACTTAACCAATTTTAACCAAATTAATTTTTTAATTGAATTTAACTGAAGAGTTTAACGAATTAATTTTGATCATTAACTGAACTGAAGTTAAAGAAAAAAATGTAATTAACCGAACGAATTTAACCGAAATTATGATTAATTGACTTTAACTAAAATAAAAATTAACCGAAGTTATTAATCAATATTTAATCTAAATAAAAATTGAAATATTTTTAATTTTTAATTTTATTATCTACTTAATCAAAACGGCGTAATTTTGTAGTTGGTTAATTTGATTAATTCAGTTAAATTAAATTTTAACCGAACTTTTAATCGATCATCCAAATTTTAATTTTTTTTAACCGAACTTTTAACTAAATATTTATTCACTGAACAGAATTAACTGAATTAACCTAACTGGCCGAACCAAATGTTCACCCCCAAAGAAGAGGGTCGGAGTTGATTACTTTAAAATTAGGAATATTAGGAATATATGATATCATATTTATATATATAAATAGTATTACCTAATGAGAGAAAATAATAATATAAATAATCACTTAAAATCATGTATCCTGAAATCAAAAGTTAGACTAAATAGTATTTTTAAAAAAAATATAAATCATAAAATGAAGGAAAATCTGTATGAACATACTAAAACCTATATATAGAGCAAAATACAAGACACCACAAAAAATAGCTCAGAATAGCAAGAGAAAAAGTAATAAGAGACCATAAATGGAAGGATTATATAATAATAATAATATTAAAATCTAGTTCTGAAAAATCAAAGTTAGCTAAATTGTTTTTTAAAAAATATAAAATCATAAAATGAAGGAAAATCTGTATGCATACTAAAACCTATATATAGAGCAAAATACAAGACAAAAACAAAAATGCTAATAGCAAGAGAAAAGTAATAAGAGACGTGAACGCGAAGATAAGCAACGGATAAACCGATTCGAAGAAAATCCAGAAGTAAAAGGGAAACAAAAGGCAAACAATGGCAGTCCTTTCGTCTTCTCTAAATCTTCCCATTTCGTCGCCCATTACTTCTCCAAATTGCAGTTATTACCTCAATTCCTCAACTCTCTTTCACCAACCTCCTTCTCGTCGGTTTCACATCAGACCACTTGCAGCTTCACACGTCTGTTCGCCACACGAAGTCGACAAATCGTCGCTGATAATCACCGAAGCAGAGGCGGAGGATGAGCTCTGGGCCGCCTCCCGCCTCCGTGTCCGTTCCTTCTACCAGTTCGAGCCGTCCACTTTTGGCATCCAAGTTAGTCAATCACTTTGCTTTTTCTTTTTCTTTTTCTTTTTTTTTTAATTTATACATAATTAACTTTACTTCTCTGCCTAGTCATTGAAAATATCGAAAATTGCAGTCGTTATATTGTTCATTTATTACTCGTATTCTTATATTGCTCAACTGAAGTGAAAAGTAGAATTCAGAAGGAAAAAGAAACGCTATTATTATATAGAAGCTGGTAGCTGACTGTTGATAAATAAACGTTTCTGTTTGTATTTTAGATAGAATGTCTTATTCATTGGTTGCCTTTTCTTTTTCTGTCTGCTGTGTTATATTACTTAAATTAAAGAACAAAGACTGTAGAAAGAAAAGTTTATTAATTAGTAAAGTCAAATTTGAATTTTTGTTTTTTTCTGAAGATGTTCAAAGTTTTTATAATATAATCTTGATTGTTAATTCAAGCATCATAGGTAGAAGGTTATCATTGCCATGAACTATAAATGATTTGATCTCATACTATAATTTATTTAGAATAAAGGTTAACATTATAATTGATAAATATCATTAGGGAAAACTTAGTCCCTGTCGAAACCCACCTCATCATATGGGGGTTTGACATGATATGTTGGAATCTCCAATAGCTACAAGTTGCTAATCCTTACCAAAACAGGTAACTTTGAATAAAAAAAAAAAAAACAACCTTGATCTTGTTCATGAAATACAATGCTAATTTTCAGTTTATTACTGTAAATAAATGGTCAAGGCTGTATGAGTTGAGTAAGTTTCTCATTTGTAGCGATTAGAATAAAAGTCAAAGTATTAGCTCTGTCATGCTGAATGGTTTTACTTTTATATTTTTTTGGTATATGTTGTTTTTACATTTCTTGGTACAATGAACTTGTTCTGAGAGCTAATTACTTAATGTTTTCGCGCTATCTAGATTAAGATTTTCTTGATTATAAAGTTTCTATTATGCCATTTTATTTTAATATTCAGTATTTGTTGAATGAACTACATGGAACTGATTCCATTCTGTGTTTGTCAAGTTCTATTAGGATCATAAAAAGTACTTGGCGGAGCGCGAGTTTGAAGCAGTAAAGGAGCGTATTTCTGGCAAGAGGACAGGCTTTAACAGAGTTTCTTGCATAAATGCAACCCTTCCAGTATCACAATTATCAGGATTGTATCAAGAGTTAGGCGCTGAATGTAAGGTTTGTTTGTTTTCTTTGCTTGGATTCTTGTCCCATTTTTTAGCATTTCAGTTGGCCTATGAATGTATATGAGCATTTAGGACCTATGGTGGCATGTTGTCAAAAAAATCTGGAGTCTCAATAATTGTTTTTCAGGTTAATGTATTGAATAGGCCTGGCTAATTTGGCAATTGCTCCAACTTTGCATGGTTCTGCAACTTAGCATGTCAGAAAATGTTGATTCTAGCTGCAAAACTGATCGTTATTTAGTCCTGTGGACTATTCTCGAGAAAATTTGGGAATGAATTTGAGACTGGGTAAATAGTTTACCTGGGGAAGGAGATTATCTTTTTTATTTCAAAATGGTTGAGAAGGTTTTAATTTTGAGAATATTTAGCAATTGAACCAGCTGTGGGTTTTCAATAAATTTTGATGATATTTAGAGTATGGGCTTTAAACCATAATAGAGTGATGAACTTTGTTTTTGACAAATGGTTTATGTTATTACAGTAATAATTGGGACTGTTTTTGAATTCCATGTGACTCTTTCTTTTTTATTCATCAAGAGGATGGATAATAGGATGAAGATAAGTTCTGGTGCATGAATAGATGGATATTGATTGCTGATGAAAATGTTTGGTGGTTTTTATTGTATTTAGGGGAGATTCAGATTAGATCCAAATATGTGGCATACATATCCTTCATCTTTGTGATTTTTGAGGCATGGATGATCCAAAAACCAAAAAATTGATACTATTGAGAGGTATGCTTAGGTTTTCTTCACCCCCTGCATTAGTTGGAAAAACAGAAATATGGTTTGCTTCTTTCTCCGACAACCCTATTTGAATCAGCTGCTCCTAGGTTCTCTTTCTTTTACATGGAATATCTGAGCAAGGATCAAAGCTCTTAATATTACTGTAAGGACATGAATATTGTAAGCAATTAGTGATCTGATATGGTCGCTTGCAGTCCAAGGACCTAGGAGAAAAATTTAAATTTGAGACTTCTGTGGGACTTTCTTTGAATTGTTTTCTGTATTACTGAGAGTAGAGATGAACTTAAGGTGCATCAAATTACAAACAATACTTGGACTTCTATGTTCTTTTGTATTGAAGGGGTACGATATTGTACATATGGTTTCAAGTTCCTAAATTCAGAAACCAACTATCATTTCTATAGTTATGCTTGGTTTCTGTTATGAATATTATGATCCCAAACACATTTTAGAGTTTGAGGTGTTTTTAATTTATAATCTGTACTATGTATATTCTTTGCTTGACTGTCTCATGAGCTGACAATATTCTCATTCTTTTGTAGTTTAATAGCAATGGACAAGATCGAGCAGTAGTGGCAACCCTTGATCTTAATCAATGTCTAAGACTACCGGATGAAATAACTGGAAAGAAACCTGAGGTATATGATATTACTTATCTTACTAACTTTTACATGACAATGTCATGATTGTTCATACTGCAAGTTGTAAAGTGATATTAACGGTCTAAGGTCTCGGATCAGGCTGTTTTTCTGAAGTTATGATAATAGAAAATTTGATTTGAAAAGGTTGGTGTCTAGTTTTCTTCACCTCTATTCTATCTTCTTCCTCTTTACTCCTGCCACAGAACCATGGGTATATTATCCACAGTTCTGTGAAGAGTAATCTCTTTTCTTTCAGAGTCTCCAGTGCGTAAGCATTCTTTTTTCTGATGTAATTTCACTTTCACATATTTTAACATTGTGCCCTTTTCTGTTTGCGTTGCCAATTATGTCCACTCATCACATAGGATGTACTATGCATATCTTTGTGGACAATTAGCATTTAGACATCACGGCAGACACAGCTTGAGTTCTTAGCCAGGCGACTTAATGTACTACTTCTGTTGGACAGTGTTGGACAAAAACAAACAAGTCTTGGCCTTGACCTGGAGCTGATGTGATTATGAATTGCATGATAATATCTTAGGGTTTTGCTTCAACAGGGGATTGGAGCTGATTTTGCAAGGGCATACCTGAGCAACGTATGTGTTGCCAACGAACTGCAGAGACAAGGCCTGGGTTATAAACTTGTTGCAAAGTCAAAAATCGTAGCTCAAGGATGGGGTGAGAACACATCACTTTTGGTATTTATCACTACCTTTATTAGTCTTATTCCTTTCTCAATGTTCATTGATTTCCACGCAATTCTGGAAAGAAATTATGGCATGATTTTGGAAATCGACGTATTAAGCTTGGTGCATATAAATCTTAACCAGGTATGCCTGGTCATGAATTGAGCTATAGACTGACACATGCTTATCTGCTTAAATTTTGAACAATTTAATATTTCTTGTGGTTTAATTACAAGATACACAGTTCAACTTTAACATTGTTTGTAATTTTTTCACGAACTTCTAACCTTGCGATATATTACCTTTTAATTTTTTGCAATTTTGTCACCAATCCAATTCTAGGTGAAATTTACACTTGAATTTGCTAATGAGGCAAATCCTGAATTCCTTACTCTTTTTTTAATGTTATGAAATCCAAAATTGTGTTGTTGATATGAAATATTTTATATTAATTTTATCACATGTTATGCAGCAAAATAGGCCTGCCATGTTAACAAATCAGGCTTACATGTTCCTGAAATTGGATCATTGGATAGAATTGCAAATAATTAAAAGATAATGCTTGAAATTGTCAAAGTTGAAAGTTTGTAACAGAATACCAGAAACACTAAAGCTGAAGCTTTTTTCTTGGTTATACCATTCATCTTTATATGATTTCTCTTTGCAATTTCTAATTAGACAAAAATTTTCAATTATTTTCAGGCATAACAGACCTATATGTCCATGTGGCTGTTGATAATGAACCAGCAAAGAAGTTATACACAAAGAGTGGTTTCATATACGAAAACGATGAGCCTGCATGGCAAGCAAGATTTCTTGAACGGCCGCGCAGGCTTCTACTATGGATAAGTCTTGCTGGTGCACAGGAACTGTAATGGTACAGTACCAATGTATCCTGTATTTTCTTGTGCACCCACCTTTTTATTCTTTACGTGTCTATAGATTCTCTAGCACCAAACATAGTGCCTCTCTTTTTTTAAACTATAACTTGTAAAGTGAAATTATAACCATTTTTAGCATGAAAATAATGGTTAACACTGTCAGTCTGTTCATTGCAGTACTTGATTTGATGAAATTGGACCAAAATTTCATTGTAGGTCTATGGTAGGTTTATTTGGGCCCAAAAATTGGGCTAAAATTGTGCCCTAGTTTCCATTTTACCCAACAAAATTAGGGCCCCAAAGTGAATCAATCTAGTTATTCTATGTAGTTAGGAATATGAATATTGTAATGCTTGCAAGAAGAGATAACTTTGCCAAGTTGCAACCCTGCATAAATCTTTTATATTAAATCTCATTGCCCGATGGATTAGCAGATAATAATTAATTAAGTACAAATTTAAAGAACTGGAATTCAAAGAGCCTCATGTGATCCTTTAAAATTTATTATTCTCACGATTTTTTTTTTTTTTAATATTAATTTTTTGTTGGTTTTCTCATAGTCTTATGTATGACTTTTTACACTAGCTAGTATCACATTCTTGAAGTAGAAGTAGCCAACCTCCAGGATCAATTGATCATACGCCTTATTTTATAGTACTTAAACTAACCTGAAAAACTCTCCCCCCCACGAAAGCTTCAAACCCTGCATATTATAACGAAATCCACAGGGATTATAACAGGTTCCAGTACGAAAAATGAAATTTAAATCAAATTTTAAGTTTTGAGTTTTCTGATCGAGGGCTAGCTTACTGGTCATACTGAACTCTGACTATGCCAGCATCAGTATCAGCGATTCGGGAGAAGGCATCTTGTGAGAGATTAATGTCTCCCATGCAGCCTCTGCTACAATAATCGACGATCTTCACTACAACACTGCCTCGTTTGCAAGGATGCGGTGCTTTGTTTGCACCTCCGATGCATGTGACTCTGTACCTTCTTCCACATGCTGCTCCATTATTCCACAGGGCATCACTTACCCCAGCAACTATTAGCCCATTATTTTGATTTCCATAGCATTTTGAAGCTGAAGACATTTGAATCACTTGGTAGTTATATCAATTCGTTGTAATATAAATAGACAAGTTAGGTTTTTATATGCTTGAAAGACATATACTTACGAGTATAAGGAGGCATCGGTTTTTTACTGTCGTTTTTATACCAAACGGCAAGGCCTTGTGCAGCATTTGCAATGGAGGCAAGGCATACCGCTATGCCTATCATAACAGCAACTCTAATTGCAATGCCAATGCTCATTTTCTTAGTTAGGTGTTGCTTAATTTTCTGTTATATGTTATAATCCCAAGTCTTCTGGCTCCGGTAACCATTTATATAGGGAAATCCAAGAAATTAAGTCATCCATTTTCTAAAAAACCAAACACTTTTCCCACGCTGAATAATTTCGCTAAATTAATGATTATAGCCTAATAATTGCGAAGACTAATACTGGTCTCCCAATACAGGTCTTTTCCAAGCAGCTTCGTGGAAGAAAGGTAGGAAAAATGGACTATACAGTGCGTGTATTGGAGAAAGAAGAAAAAAGGTATAACAGTTCATATTGCATTATTGCTTTGCTGTTCTTATGTTCTTCGTTTTATATTAAAGAGCTTATTTAGGGACAGATTTTTTGATTTTCTTTTTTCTTTTTTTGTCTTATTTGGTGAATTGAATTAATTTTTTAATTAGTGATAATTTATACAAAATTTTTAATCTAATTATTCAATTAGAAGTGAGTGAGGAGAAGCACCATAAATGGCGATAAGACTAATAACCTGGTCTCCGCACCACATACAGGTCTTTTCCAAGCAGCTTCCCGTGGAGGAACAGGTGAAGACAATGGACTATACACGTGCGTTGTATTAGGAGAAAGAAAGATGTTATAATCCCAAGTCTTCTGGCTCCGGTAACCATTTATATAGGGAAATCCAAGAAATTAAGTCATCCATTTTCTAAAAAACCAAACACTTTTCCCACGCTGAATAATTTCGCTAAATTAATGATTATAGCCTAATAATTGCGAAGACTAATACTGGTCTCCCAATACAGGTCTTTTCCAAGCAGCTTCGTGGAAGAAAGGTAGGAAAAATGGACTATACAGTGCGTGTATTGGAGAAAGAAGAAAAAAGGTATAACAGTTCATATTGCATTATTGCTTTGCTGTTCTTATGTTCTTCGTTTTATATTAAAGAGCTTATTTAGGGACAGATTTTTTGATTTTCTTTTTTCTTTTTTTGTCTTATTTGGTGAATTGAATTAATTTTTTAATTAGTGATAATTTATACAAAATTTTTAATCTAATTATTCAATTAGCTATACTTTTTTTTTTGGTTAAATAGGAACACAAAATATATATACGAATTAGGAATTACTCATAATATATTCGTAAATTTAACTAATGAAAGCATTTAAAAAGATGGTATACTACTTTTATTGGTTATATATAAAAGCTCGATAAGACTCCACGAGCTTTCAAACTGAACATCGATCATTAGACTCGAGCTTGATTCGAGCCAAATTTTTTCGAATTTTTCTCAAGTCGGTTCAACTCATTTACATCATTAGTTTTTCTTTTTAATTTTTTTGGAAGTAATATCAATAAAATATAATTAGAGGTCCACTAGTCGTGTAGTGTTAATCCCACGATTAAGGTCAAATTGCCATTACTTTTCCACTAATAAGGGATATTATAATTTGAATAATTTCACTTTGAAATTATGAGCTATACGCACTGCTTCCAGCCATATAAATCGTGTCAAGTTGGATGAAAAATAAACTATCAATTCAAGAGCTCAAATATTCCTAATCACTCCATCAATTATCTTCTCATATCTTTTAAGTTCTTAGCTAATTCAATTTCTCCATGAAGTTACTACTTCCTTTCTCATCTCTCTCCATTTATGTATATGTTCTTGTTTTCTTTTGCTCCACTAACTTTGCATCTACAAGCAATGACACCAAACTTGAAATGAACCTTATTTTCAAATGAACTTTACTTGCATGATCAAGTGTTCAAAATGTAGAGTTATTATTCATGAAAGGATTTTATTAAAGTACCACTTGGAACTAATAGGCGATGATTAATCATGAATAGGCAGCTGATGAGTGCATTACATGCTAATTTTTTTCTGAAAAAATTACAGTACGATATTTGTGGTTTACGAAATATAACTAGTTTGTTCCTGTCTTTTATAAAATAGATTAAAACATTCCTATATTTTACTTTTGTTAGACTATAAGGTCCTTCCGTCTAATTCTTGCATTTTTTCTATTTAGTACCTTATAAAATGACGAAAATAACTCTTTTATTTTTTAAAAACACAGGGACGGAATAGTTGTATTTTTCAAACTATAGGGACCATATTGTAAATTTTTTGGTATGATATTTTAGTATCTTTCCTTTGATCTTTGTATTTTCTTGTTGACTTAACGGAAAAGATGCAAAAAATAGACAGAAGGACCTAATAGTATAACGGAAGCAAAACATAGAGACAAAGTGATATATTTTAAAAAAGATAGGGACAGACTAGTGATATTTTACAAACCACAGGAATGGTACTGTAATTTTCCATTTTCTTTAGCTAAAATTAGAATGCAATTGATTCTAAATTTTAAAATTGAAATACAATTAATAGTATAAAACATTGAAAAACTAAATTAATTTTGACAGTTAATTAAGCCAATTAAATTCTCTCTCCTATATCAAAATATATAACATAGATGTTCTCTCATAATTAGAGTAAAAAACTTCATTTTTACTACAAATATTTGATTTGGAAAAATAAAGTTCAAGATCATATATTTAAAAAAAAATAAAGTAAACAACTTTTAACATATTTGACCTAGTATCTTAACATTTAACAAAATAAAAAAAATTAGAATAGCCTACTGCAACAAGCCCACTTTTGTTCCAATAACTATAGTGAACCTTCTTCTTCTTCTTCTTCTTCTTCTTCTTCTTGTTTTCTCTTCATCCCACAAATTATGTGCTTGCAGTTCCAGTCTTCCACTGTGTTATTATTTATGTGATTAATCATACAACAAATTGAAGACAAATTGAAGACTTCCAGTTCCAGTCTTCCACTATGTTATTATTTATGTGATTAATCATTTACGTTGTAATGGCCTTAAAGAAAATTGTACCCAAGAGTGCAATTAATAGTTTACTTATTTATTGAAATAAATTTATTTATTGGGAGACCGAATGAATCAAAATAAGATTGTAGAACTGAGTTAATTTTTAACTCCGTCGCTATGTAATGCCTTCTCTCTTTGTCATTATTCTAATAAATGATAAGATCCCTACTCTCCTCAGAAAATTTTGTCGCCTGGTTATAGATTTATGGAAGACGTCAGTGTTGCAGGTATGTTTTTTAAATTTTTTTCATTAATGGTTTTGGACAATATCATATTTGACTTGATTTGTTGTGATTGGGTGAATAGAGGTGTATATTGTAAGCAAAAGAGAGTGTTTGAAGTTATTATTAAAGTTACTATTTCTGGTTCTATTTACGTACTACAAAAACTTTGTTAGGTATGTTATAGCTTTTTCTCTCAAGAATTTTACCTTTCAGTATTGTTCTTTGTCTTGATGTATTTCAGTTTAGGTTTTTTTAACTTAACATTTTTCGGCTAGGATTGAGTATTTTCGGAAAAACCTATTGGCATGAGTTTAGTTTTGCTTAGGTTTTGTTAAGTTTTTTTCCGGTAATTTTAATCAATAAAATTAAAATTTTGCTGATAAAAAAAATCGATTACCAATTCCACGATATAATGGCTACTAAAAATGGAATGGTAATAGAAATTTCAATCCCATTACCATTCAACCTACTAAACATGCTGTTAGAATATTAGGTTAAGCCTAGCTAATATTGCAATTGATTCGCTTAATAATTTTTCATCTTCTTTTCATGGGTAATGCAAAAAGGAAAAAAAAAAAAAAAGTCAAGTTCTTAGATATTCCCAATAATTTTAAAATATTACGGTTATTATTACTGATTAATTGAATTCTTAGAATTCAGAGCCAAAGTATGCAGTCCAAAAATATTAGATGTAACCAACTAAAATTGAGAAAGATGAGATGAGAGTTGATTTCTCTTTTATTCAAGATAAACTATAAACAAAACCAGCTGATCTTACATAAGTGAAGATATGTATAGATAGATGCTGCCTCACTGAACATCATCCTTACACTCTTCACACATTCTTTATTTATTTTCCCCTTTTTATTTATTTATATTTTGGTGTTGGACATGATAAGAAACTTGCTAGGGCAACTACACACAAGCTTCTCCTGTTAATGCCATTTACGACTTTCCTTACACCCTGCATATTAAACAAAGATAGTCAAAATCCATCCATAATTTAATTACTTGATTATATATATATATGTAAAACCAAGTGAAGTGGAGTTACCAGGTATATCCAACTTGGAGTGATGGAGCAGCAGGATCAGCAATCTTGGCATAAGCATCGTCAGAAATCTGAAAAGTTATTCCGCAGTCTGGGCAGTAATCAGCTACTTTTACATCGACAGAGGTGTGCAGTTTGCAAGGTTTGCTTGCGTCGGAGGACTTAATGCACCTCACTCTCAGAGTCTTTTTACAATTATCCCCTCCAGCCCACAAGGCCTCACTTACTGTTGCCACCAGCGTAGTCGTCAGTGGATCATCTCCGTAACACTGGTTGGCTATTCCAAAACAGAGGAACACCATCATATATTAATTACAGAATAGTTTTGGTATCTAATAATTTTTCCATATACATATATAGATCTATATATTCTTACGAGAGTAAGGTGGATCATAGACAGAAGCAGTTCCTGTAGAACCGCCATTGCCAATACCGGAAGCACCCCCCTCGCCGTTGGCACCACCCTCTTCAGCGCCATTGTCATCGTTCACTCGAATGGCAAATGCAACTGAGGCAAGGTATCCCACCATGCACAACATAAGCAATACTTTCATTGCCTTTCCCATGATTTTAGTTTTGGTTGCTCTCTATGATTAAATTGGCACTTAAATGTGATTGAAAGCTAAACACATTACCTCCCTATTTATAGGGATGATCTTTAGTTTTGGTTGCTCTCTATGATTAAATTGGCAACTTTAAACGTGTGATTGAAAGCTAAACACATTACCGTCCCCATTATTATAGACATAAGCAATACTTTCATTGCCTTTCCCATGATTTTAGTTTTGGTTGCTCTCTATGATTAAATTGGCACTTAAATGTGATTGAAAGCTAAACACATTACCTCCCTATTTATAGAGATTCAGCAACGCCATAAATATGCATGGGGTAATAACATAGGGCTTAAAGCACCCACAAAATTAAATAATCATTAGAATGTAGAAGATGGGATCACACAAACATAGCATGTTGGTAGTCTTTGTTTTGTTGTACTTGTAAATGATCAACAATGACCAACAATGACGTAAATAAAAAAAAAAAATTATCGTGAATTGCACTCCTGTCCAAATAAAAGAAAACAAATCAAAAAACAAAATGATTACCTATCATGTAAATTTATACGGTATGAATAACAACAATGTCATTTTCACAACTATAACTATCATATACAATTTTTTTGTCATGATATTCATAATAGAGTGTTATACCATACCCCGCTTTACATCAATTTGTTTTTAATTTTTGCTTCAAAAGAAAACTCTTTGTTTCTAATTTTCACTTTTTTTGTGAATTTTTTCTAATTTTCTTTTATAATATATGTGCTTATAAAAAAAAAGGGAGTATCAAACTCTTGGAACATTTGTTTCAAAAAAAAATTTCCATTTTTGTTATTTTTTTCTAGTAAAAAGATATTTATATTTTCATTTGTCTTAATCCACGAATGTTTTTCATAAATAAAACTTCTGACGTTATAAATTATTCACTAAATTTAAGTATGTTGAGCTATTTCTTGTGAATGAAAGATACCAATAAGTATTTAGTTTTTATAAGACATTCTTACATATAGAATGAGATTTTGATATAAAACTAATTTTTCAATTAGGTGGCATCCAACAAAATAAAGTTGAGTCACTAAAATAAAAATAAAAATAGAGAATTTAACCGTGTGTTCACTTTAACATAAAGATTATATTAAAAAAATTAAGTACAAAAATAATTTTTCAAACATGTGGCATCCAACTAAGCAAACTACTAAACAAAAATGAAATCCACTAGAAATTTAAATTTATTGACCAAACCGAAAATTAAGATAAAAACATTAAAAATTATTTTTATTTGAAACCGTAAAAAAAAAAGGTGGAGGAAGATCATTTTTGTTGCTAATCTACCACCATCTGCATTGTGAAAGTTCCGAATATAATAATATCCAGCTCCATCCTTTCTCCACAAAAGAAGGATCTTTTGTTGATTTGCTGATAGGTTATACACAGAACATATCAAGATTCTAAAAGAAGCAAATTGTTAAACCTTAAAGAATCATGCTCGCATATTTTTCATATACAATTCTGCATATTCTTGTTGTAAGAGAACCATTTGACTCGTCATGCGTTTGCTTATAATATTCCCAAGGGAACATCTTTGAACCAATTAGCAATTTCTGTGATTATTGTACATGCAAATGTACATGTGGTTGTTTAATGGAAACTACTAATATAAAATTGCAAACTATCAAAGCAAGAGATTATGGATAGATGAAAAGAGAATTTAGGTAACAGTTGCTTACAACTACCTCTGTTTTATAATATTTGTCAAATTTGAAAAAATAGTTTGTTCTAAAATACTTTCACATTTGTGGTTTTAAGGAGTAATAAATATTTTTTTTCAAGTTTATCTTTTATATATGACCAATAATTATTACTTCAATTTAATGGTTTTATTTGAGAATGAATATTAAATTAAAGGTAATAGTCAATTTACTCAATAATTTATTGTAACTTAAACGCATTTAATGGTTTTCTTAGAGAACGTGAAATTTCAAATGTGACAAATATCATGGAACAGGTAAAAATATAATACAAAACAAGTGGGTGGTATACTATTTTTATGTCCATTTACAGAATTAATTCATTACCACAAATTACATACTCTCAATATGCTATATTTGTGTCATCCCATTATATATGAATACATCATAATCATTTTAAACAAAAATGTATTCCCTGTATCCATAAATATAAATGTTCTAAAGTTTTTGCACGGTAATAAAGAAAGTAATTAATTTTTTTGGATTATAATACAAAATTTCATTGATTGGAGTAAATTATCATTTATCTTACATTATTAATAATTAATGTGTTTAATATACTCCATCCGTCCCATTATTTTGTCCTACTTTCTTTTTCAATCCGTTCCAAATCATTATCTTGTTTTCCTTTTTTTTAGAAATAAATAATATTTGAAGTTTACTATTTTATCCATATTTAATGTGCTACTTTGTCAATAAATTATAATAGTCAAACTACTGTACTATCATTAATTAAATTATATAAACAAAACTAACACATTAACCTTTAAAATCCTCCAATAAAATTCTATTGAATCAAATCTTTGATTAATTTCAAGAACAATGTATTATGAATCATTTAATTTTTTTATGGATATTAACTTAGAAAAAAAAATGAGGTAAAAATTATAACTTAATCATATTGACTAAATTTTTTTAATCTATATGCAGGTCAAATTAGGACACAAATTACGGAATCAGAGTATGTAAAAGTAAAATTGAAAAAAATTCATCAATTACTCTTTAATATTTTCAAAATGACTTATAATATTAAAAATGACTTATATTTATGCACAGGAGAATAATCGTAAACGTGATTCACATTCTGCTCCTTTCTTATTCCTATATAGTAATCATTCACTTACGGTAATGCCTATGTTGAAAACTAAATTCTCATTCTCATATGTTAACTTTTAGTGGTATCCATTTTGCTTAGTTGTTTGCTTAGAAGGATGACACCCGGTTGGAAAATTATTTTTTATACTTAATTTATATATATATATATATATATTATCCAAATTATCAAATTAATATTAATATATCAACTGAAATAGATCATTATTTAAATCAATTAATATTTTTCAAAAATATTTAAATTATAGTATATTGTATAATTAAATATTCTTTCCTTTTAAATTTATACGAAAAACATGATATTTAATTCATATGGACTTAGCGTTGTGCACAAAGTTTCCTTGCTTTCATCAAGTTGCAATGATTAAACCACCAGGAGGTTTATGTTGCTTTCAAGTGACATACTTACCAAGATATTTTATTTCAACAGTATTGTTTTAGGATTGAACAGCTATTCTATTTAATTCTGAACAGTCAAATGTAACAGTTTATGCTTTGATGAACAATCAAAGAACAATTTTCTGATTGTGGAAGAATCACACCAGTAGGTTGCAACCAACTAGGTAGCATACTTTACCAAATAATTATTTATCAACTTAACTCAACAATTTTAATTAATGATATTTTAATTAAGGTTAAGGGGTTCCTGCAACCCTCAGCTGGGATCCCAGAAGCTAGTCCAGACTGTCGGAGAAGAAGAGGAAGCCTCTTAACGAACCCTTAGTAGCTAGCAGATTTTATTAAATTATAAATAAATAACTTTTATTAAATATGAAGATCAAAATTTTAAACTTTACAATCTTAAAGTTTTTACAATCCGACTCTCGCCCTAACGTTGAATACTTCACAAAGGGAACTCCCTGGGGGCAGTGAGAGATGAGGAGTGCTTTAGTATATTTTTATACAAGTATAGCCGTTCACAAGAGGAGTAGGCCTCTTTAAATAACATAGAAAAGAATCTTTTACTATTCTACTTTTAACTATTTTATAACGTGCTTGCGTGTCTGCCACCGATCTTTGAAACAGTTGTTTGACCTTTAACTGTTGGATGTAATAGTTTTGCTTTTCCTGTAGAACAGTGATTTAACATACTTTACTATTTGAATGATTGGTGAAATTAAGGTTTCACCTGCCCTTTTACTCAGTCATGAGGACGATTGTCCTTCTTTTTCTTTTCTTTTTTCTTGCTTTGTTTTTTGTTTATTTTTCTTTTGCTTTTTCAGCTTTACTTTTGACTATTAATGGATTCAAAAAATTCTCATTTACTATCTTCGTTGGAGGATAGTGCGGGAAGATGTGATGAGGAAGGAGAAGCCATGTCAGCCATCTTCTGTTTGCGTTGATTTTAGAATTATTTTTACCTGGAAACAGTTCTGCACTGCTTTTTTACTTGATGAGGGTTTTACTGCGAGGAATCAGATCTGTTTGAGAGATTGCATTGAGCTTTCTTGGCAGAATTCTTTCTATACTCATTGGATGTTTTGCTAGAAGCTACCTTGCTTGGCATTTGCTTTTTGGAATTCCGAAAGTCGGTTGATCCTTTAGTGCAAGATGTGGTATGCAGATAGGTTAATGGAGGAAACCTTGTTTTTAATTTATCACGTATCAGAGATCAATTTTAAGTTTCCGTCGTAGGAGTGTTCTGAAAGATCCCCACCATTTAATTTTTGTTCTTTTTTACCACATTAGGAATCTGGTTATGTTCCTACGGCTCTTGAGTGTGTCCAAATCCATTAGATATTATCCAGGGCGGAAGAAGGCCACTACTAATAGTTACATAAGGGAAGGGATATGGGGCTTTCTTGCGTAGGATTGGGTTTTAATGGGCTTTAACAATTACATGAATTAATGCCTTGGATTGGAGGAGGGATAATTTTCATTTGGAATTCCCCTAGTTTCCCAGCCTTTTATAAACCAGTTAGGCAACTTTACATCAGTACGAAGGATGTATCAAAATAGATTAAACCATGTATGAGCGTTCAGCAGTTGGGATTTTTGATAGCAAAATTTTGTCCCATGCATCACGATATCAAAATTATTGCTCATACTAGTACTGTGGACATGTTTATATTAAAACTTTAAAATTGTCTACCAGGGGGAGAAAGAGAGGGTATAGGCAGTCCTTTGGGGATGAAGGCAATCGTTGTGATTTTAAGTGAAGATTATAAAATTAACAGATCTTATT